AAGAGATGAGGTCAGAGTGAAAGCAGGGAGGACAGATCATGTAAGGCTAATGTATATGTATATGTATATGTATATGTATATGTATATGTATATGTATATGTATGTGTATATATATATGTGTGTGTGTGTGTGTGTGTGTGCGCGTGTGTGTGTGTGTGTGTGTGTATTAAAAAGACTCAGTTTCTTTATTCATAAAAAGGGGATAAAAACAGACCCACCTCAGTTTTGTTGTAAGTGTAGAGGTGGAGAAATTACTTAATCTCCCGCTCCTCATGTTTCCATAAATGGAAGAGGCTTCCATTCCACGCCGCCCCCCCACGCTCCCCAAGATAGAGTGACATTGGAAAAGGTATTTAGGCCTTCATCACTGAATAACTGACATGTAATGGTCATTGTTCTAGGTACTCTTGTCTCCCCACTTTCTCACTCATGAATATATAAACAGGCATCAGAGAGCACATTCTTTTTCTGTGACTTGATCTGAGGCAGAAAATATAGCAGAAACTGGCTTAGAGAGATAGATCTGGAAGCCATTTCCACCACTCTATTTCTCACTCCTCCCCACCTCATCTCCTCTTCCTTCCTCTCTTTCTCTTGCTCTCACTCTGTCTGCCTTACAAGTCTCAGGTAGCCCAAGACATGTCCTCAATGCACCTTTCTGCTAAACTCAACTCTCCCCACAGGGAAATAAGACCTAAATTTGGGGAAAATCACAGAAGAGCCTGCCATACTCTACAATCCATTTTAAAGATCAATTGAGTTAACTTATTCTTTTTAAATTTTATTATGGAAATTTTCAAACACACACAAACATAATCAGAATCCTATCTAATAAAAGGGTAATATGCAAATTAACCATTATCCATCACAAAGATGGCGGCACCCATAGCCACAAGATGGTGGCACACAATCCTCTCAGCCCCCCTGGAGTCCTCCAGTCCCAGGGGGCAGCCGCTAAGAGCGGGCAGCATGAGCGGCCTGGTGGAATGCTTGCTTTGTTGCCACAGCGACAAGGCAAGCATTCCACCCTGGCAGCGGAGGGCCTCTGGGCAGCGGGCACAGAGCAGCTGGGGGGGGGGGATGTTCCATACCCCACCGAGGATGGGCCTCTGGCCAGGCTGGGGCATGGAATGCTTGTGCCGTTGCCCCAGCAACAAGGCAAGTGTTCCGCGCCTGGCCACAGATGGGCCTCTGGGCCACAGAGAGCCTCTGGGCAGCGGGCATGGAGCGGCCAGACCCCACAGAGAGCTACCTGCACACAGATTCGTGTTCAGGGCTACTAGTAATATAATAAAATCCCCATGTCTGCCTATCACCCAGATTCAGCAATCTATGGCCAACCTCATTTCAGTGTTGCATTTTTAATTCTCATCAGGTTACTTACATCCATTCTCAGTTGTCTAAAAACTTGAAGGAAGGGTTACTGATTAATTGACACTCTCAGACTTCTATCGAAGAAGATTAAATGAAATAATGTATGTGAAGGTCCCCTGGAAAGTAATAAACTTTCAAATAACATTAGCAATCAATAATGATGATGCACCACCCGCAGAATTGAAAGCAAACCTTGACCAAGATGATTCAGAATGGAAAAATTCGGATCACTCTGCTGGATTGTCAAGAGCCTATAAAGTTGCAGGTGGTAGAAACTCACTGGATGAAAAACAAGGAGGGCTTAGCTACTGACTTTTTTTTAACATCAAGTCATTTCTTCCTCGCATCAATCACTTACCTCCAGCCTCAACCGTTGGGATACCATGCCTATGTCGATGCTCACAAATGCCATTCGATTGGACCCATCTGGCTCTGCCATGATGAAAGCACGACTGTACAACCTGGTGAGGAGGCCCCGTGCATTCTGGCCACCTTTGCCGTAGCCCATCTAAAGGGGGAGAGACGATCAGAGCCCATCTAAAGGGGGAGAGACCATCAGAGCCCATCTAAAGGGGGAGAGACCATCAGAGCCCATCTAAAGGGGGAGAGAGCATCAGAGCCCATCTAAAGGGGGAGAGAGCATCAGAGCCCATCTAAAGGGGGAGAGACCATCAGAGCCCATCTAAAGGGGGAGAGACCATCAGAGCCCATCTAAAGGGGGAGAGAGAATCATAGGCGCTCTATCTCATCTCGTGCCCCCTACCCCAACCCCACCAGAAAGCAGGCTCACTTAAGAAAGACAAATAAAAACAGTCCACAGGTCACTGAAAACTCTGAGTGAGACCATGTGTTTTCAATAACAAAGCCAACACCTGTAAAAGAGTCTTTACTCTTCTGTGTAGAAATAAGTAAAGGCAAAGTAGCAAAAGCTTGACAGGAGCGATTCATTGCCTTATGGGTGAGGGAGGAGCTGATGTGGCCCAGAACTGTGTTAACTGTCCTGGAGAGCTTTCAGGGCTTCTCTGTTTTTTGAAATAAGACCTTTTCTCGTACCAATCCAAGGTACTATGCAAGGAAACAGTTCCCCTCCCACCATGCACACTGAGGGGGAACATTCTCAAATTGAAGGCTCCCTCACTTGAGTTGCCAATGTGTATGTTTTGTTTTGTTTTTTACCTGAAGAAAATGGTTTCTTTATGGTTAAATAATCTAACCATAACTTTATGGTTAAGTACCTAACCCTGGCTTCTCTCATGTTGTTCCTCCCTAAGCCAAGTCAGATCAAATACATCTATCCCTGCCCCTTCTCTTACCATGTCATAAAACCCACCCTTAAAGTCTACCCAAGTCTTCAGAATGCTCCTTCTACTGCTTGCTTGGCCCTCATGTGGGTGTTTATTTAGGGTTACAATGATTCAAGAGTCAGTTTTCAGAATAGACAGCAAGGAATACAGTTGACCCTTCAACAACACAGGTTTAAACTGTGCACATCCACTTATGTATGACTTTTTTTTAATAAATACAGTCAGCCCTTCAGGTCCATAGGTTTCACATCCTTGGATTCAACCAACCAGGGATTTAAAATAGTATTTTTACATTCCCAACTGTGGACCAAAAATAATGTTTTGATTTGCATTTTGTTGAATCTGTGGCTACAAAGGGCCAACTGCAGTTAAGTTTGGGGGGAGTCGAAAGTTATACATGAATTTCCACTGTGTGGGGGTTGGTGTGCCTAACCCCCTCATTGTTCAAGGGTCAACTATAATTCCTTGAAGCTAAAGATTATTTGGTAGACAGGAGACAATCCCATCAGACAACCTGAAGCTCTGGTTTCCTAGGGAAGTGTTGATATAAACAGTGTTACCACCATCAGAGCGAAGAAGTTGCATGCTAACAGCCAACAGACCACACCTAACACATTGAAGGGTTTTACTTGGCTTAACGCACTGTTGGCCCATGCCAGGTTTCCAGTTTTAACTAACTAGAGTTGCCTACATTTTCCAAGTGAGATACTTAAACCCTCAGATCTTCAGTCCAGAGATGTTTCTGGCTTCTTTTGAAAAAACTGTCAGATATAGCAACCCTAAGTCCACATGCTTACATGGCAACAATTAGTTGGGGCCGTGCACTTTCTAGATGCACCACCATGCCCACAACTTCCTACTGTCCCCAAACTGAGGATCACTAGATGTTGAACATCTTACACTGACCTACTTCAGTCATTTACAGTACCTGCCCATCCTCTGTCATATTCGAGTTTCCTAGTCCTGCCATTTCATAAAAAGTGGCCAACTGTCTTTCCAAGGGAGTTGTGGTTAAATAAATGATCCTTTCTTCCTTATAGGCAATACTCATAGTCTTACACAGCAGTGAAGTCAATAGGAAAGCAAGATGATGCTATAATAATCAGGAATAAATGCAGGATTCAAAATAATAAAATTTTATTTCACAGTCTCTTTGAGGAGCCCATGATTTACCTACCATATTGATATCTGCTACTTGTCCTGTGCAGTCAGCTCGCCCAACACCTATGTGGTAGCCACTGAAGTTCTGAAATAGAGGAGGCTCTGGGGTGGTAGTCACTGGGTCCACCTGGGTGGTTGTGGGACCTTGTGTGAGTGTGGAGAACTGAGGGGCTGTGGAGCCCTGGGCGGCTGTGGGGCTCTGGGTGGCCTGAGGGCTCTCGGTGGATGGAAAACCTGAATCCAAAAAAATAGAATAAAATATTTGAGACTTGAACTGGGGTGGTTGACACAAAGTACAGATGATGTACTGTAGAATTCTATAGCTGAAACCTACATAATTTTATTAACCAATGTCACTCAATAAACTCAATTAAATAAGTAATATATAAAATGTTAAAAAAAAATAAAAATAGAGTAAGATATTTAAGAAACCACAATTCAGATCACTTACATGTCAGCATTAGTTAGAACACCTAATTCAGGTTCCTGAGGAAAAAAATCTTTGTATATTGTTTGTGTGTATGATACACGGTAGAAAACATCTCAGGGACTTGTTTTATATCATTCCTAAGGATGATCTTTTTCTTTACTGCATATGTTTCAACTAAACAATCAAGATCTCCATCAAACCTCCTTCAGCTTCTCCTCACAAGCCATTCCTTGCAAACTCATCACCCTTCATTCACTCACCATGCACTTCCACACCAGCCAAACAAATCATGTGCCAGGTTCCTGACACACAACCTACTAAATGCAGCCTCTTGGGATTCGTTCCTGCCATTCTCTCCATCCAGAGTCCTTATTCCTTTCTACTCCACCAACCAATCTCCACTACCACCTTCAGAGTTGATTCATTTCCATCACACTCACATCCAGCTCAAACCCTCATCTCCAGGGTGCCACCCCAGCTGTCTCTACCCTGCTTTGATCTTCCTCAGCCTTCTCAAGACTTTTATTCTTTTTTAAAAGATATATATATCTGGGAGAGAAGAAGGGAGAGGGAGAGAGAAACATCAATGTAAGAGTGAAACATCGATCAGCTGCCTCCTGCACACCCCCTACCAGGGATTGAGCCCACAATGTTGCTGGGAATCCAACCAGCAACCTTTATCCGTGCATGGTACAATGCCCAACCCACTGAGCCACAACGGTCAGGGCTAAAGACTTAGTCTTAATGCAACCTAGATTGTTGTATACTTGTTGACATAGTCCTATCTTATGCTAATGATTCCCATGTCACCATATATGCATAAGTAGACACTACATTTCTTATCAATATGTATATCACATATACATACAAATATCAGGGAGGCAGAATAGCATTGAGAATAAAAGGACAGATGCCAGAAATCTGGATTGGAAAACTGATTTTACCAATTACTGGCTGAACAAATTACTTAAGCTATTCACCCCAATTTTTCTCATCTATAAAATAGAGATAATAATAATAATATCCTACTTCCAAGGGTTGTTTTGAACAATAAATATGTTACTGCATATTGAAAATATAGAGCAGTGACTGCCTTAGAGCTTTGGTTTTATTTATGTATTTAGACATCTTACATACACAGTTTACTTGTTTGTTTACAACCTGGACACAGCCAGGGATGGCCAAGGCAGCAGAAGTCAGTATCAGAAGGTACAAGTGCTCAGGAAGTACTTAGGCAAGAGATTAGCAACTAACTCATTATGGGATCCTAGACTTCCGGAGCTCAAAAAACAAAAACAAAAACGCCTTAGAGATCACCTGGTCCAATCTCCTCAGTTTACATATGAGAATACTAAAGCCAAGACCGTGACTTAACCAAGAATTCAGAGAGCATATGCTTAAGCAGGTGTCCAAACCAGATCTTCCAACTAAGAATCTGACGCCTTTCAGCCACATTCCAGAGGGAGTTAGGATCTGTGTCTGTTCCTCCCCGAGCCCACATTCTCTGTAGGACATCTAGTGTTGCAAGAAAGGAAGCAGGAGGCTTTGCTATTGCTTTACTGATACTGACATAGTCATGTGGTGCCAACCAAAGCAAAACTTACATAGCTAAGGGCAAGCTCTTTGTGATCTCAAAGTCTCAGCTTTCACATCTATAAAATGGTACTAAGACTGGCATCAACCTTCATAGGAACCTTATTAGAATTAAATAAGAAATTGATGTAGGCTCCTGATTACAGCACTTGCCACAAAGTAACCCTTCAATAAACAGCAACTTCCACTATGGAAATAGTTGCCGTAATTATAGACAACCTCCCTGAGTCAGTCTGTCTGTCTGTCTCTCTGTCTCTGTCTCTGTCTCTCTTTCTCTCTCTCTCTCCCTCTCTCTCTCTTGTTAATCCTCACCCAAGGATATTTCTCCCATTGATTTATAGAGAGGGTGAGAGGAAGGGAGGGGCTAGGGAGGGAGAAGGGAGGAGAGAGATCTACGTGAGAGAGGCACATCCATTGGTTGCCTTCTGCTCATACCCTGACCAGGGCCAGGGATGGAACCCAGGTACGTGCCCTTGACTGGGAATTGAACTTTTGACCCTTCAACCTGTGGGCCCAACCTCTAACCACTGAGCATACTGGCCAGGGCTCCCTGAGTCTCATTTTAAGAGCTAAAACTAAATAAGCCCTACAGAGCCTTTCATATCTAGTAGTCCAGGACCCTGCTCTGCCCACTCCTAGCACGGAGGATTTCTGGTCCTCTGTGTTTGCAGGAAATTCAAAGCATGGGGACATGGTGGAGAAGACACTGGAAAAGAGAAAAGGCCACTGAGGAGAAAACCGGGGTTCAGACTTGCATCTCCTTCTCCAGTTGGCCTGAGTCCAGCCCTCCCTTTACCTTGGTCAGAGCATTCAAACCCCACTGTCTTTACTCATTTAACAGGTATAATATAACCTAGGCCAGAGGTTACTTTATAAAGACCCATGAGCCCATTATTGCCTGTAAATAGAGCTTAGACAGTTTTTAAAAATTAAATTCATCTGTAGTGCTGAAAAAGAAATCAAGCTATGTCTAAACACCCAAATTTCTAGCTTCTCTTGAAACTCAGGAGAATTGAGTCCGTGTTTATCATAACAACAACCAGCTGGCACTCAGGAGGGGCTGGGGACCCTCTTCACCAAAACTGCAGCTGCCTCATCCTGGTCCCCTCCCGACTCGAGCTCTTTTACAGAGCTTCATTGGCCCTCCTGAGGGTGTGAATTCAACACTCCCGTCTTCAAGGCTTTTAAAAGGCTAATTGATATTTAGTGGATCTTTCTTCTCCCTTTGCCTCCATTATCAGCATTATCAACAGACACTATTTCCTGCCTTCGTGTCCACAGTCACGAGGAATTTCCTGCAGGCCTAGGCGCAGCATCCAAGAGAGCCCATGACACTTGCCTTTGGGATTTTCGATGGTCCCACTGGTGATAAACAAGAGGCTGAGAAGGGCCACCGTGATAGCAGTCATCATTATGAGGAGGAAAATCAGGAACGTCTCTAACGTGGAGAAGGTACGTTTGGCCATTTTTCCTAAGAAAGAAGCAGAGATGGAAGAAGAAATAAGGAAGAGACAGAAAAAGACAGAATCACAAATTAAAACGCATGTGCTTCCATCTGCCTGAGACGTCTTAGCTCTTTCATATGAACAGACTATCCCAGGCAAGCATAAAGCACATTCACCACTAGTTCCACATCCCAAGCCCATAGCAGACAAGACCAGTCAATTACAGCACTCTTGATAAATTCAGATGGGGTTTCCAAATCTTTCTCAGCACAGTACTCGTCCTGGCATCCACCACTCATCCTTTGGCATGGGCAGCTAAGTGAAAATCTATTTGCGTTCCTCGGTTACATCACTGCTGCTTTCCTTCATGGTGATGATGCTGTTTATGGGTCTAGGTTGGAGCACTTCTGTCCACGGGGATGACGGACCCACCCACATTGTTTGTACTTGGGAGAAGGCTTGCTGAGGTGGGGGCTTTCCTCTGTGATCATAGACTAAGTAAAATTATCTTGTCCACATGGAGGTGAAATCCAAACTGTAGGCCTCTACACCCCATGTTCTAACTTTAAATACTACCTGAGAAGAAAATGGCCTGGAAAAGGGGGTTGGCATCTCTGGTCTCAAGCCAGGTGTTAATAACATTTTCCTCTCCAGTGATAAGGATTTCACACATTTTGCAAACCTTGTAGCAAATGAAGGGGATAAAAATACAAGTGCCTCTGTGTTCTACAAAAGCAGAAAATGTCCTTACAAAGTCCTTAGGATATTTTAGGAGGAGAATTCATCATTACGCGGAGGGACTATACAAGCTGAAAAGTCGTATAACAGGAGAAAGTATAATAATGGTCATTAAAAATTGGATTCTGAAGTCTGACTCCAGAATTCAAATCTCATTTCTGCCACTTACTGCAACTGAACTTGGGAAATCCCAGACAATGAGCCTCAGTTTCTCCATCTGTAAATAGGAATATGATGGTGATCATTTTAGTATCTATCTCGTAGAGTTCCCATAAAAATAAGAGGAGATAATGCAAGTAATAATTTGTTGGTTCCATGGAATGTAATAAGTGCTCAAAATGTTGACATTCATCACTGGGTTCCAAATTGGCAAAGACTCTGTTCTTCATGGTCCTTGAAGGGCATTTATATGAGACCATTAGAGGATTATTGGAATCACAGGCAGGGACTTGCTTTAGGAAGCCTGAGCAGTGAGATGGGATTGGAATCCCACATCTTACCTCCGCCCCAATGGTGGCTAAGATGCTGCCACCCCCAGGAGTTGTAAATTGGCAACAAACAATTGTGTGTAGTACAGCCCAGACAATTTTTTTGTTTCAATTTGACTTAATTGACAAGATAAAAGATTAAGTCTCACAATTTTTCTATAGAGTCCACATTTACAAATCTGAAACTTCAAATTTCTTTCAAAATACTTTCTAAAATGTGGCAACACTGAGCCAGCATTCCCATTTGCCAAAAGTTTCAAAACTTGGTAGGTACTGTTCTTTTTAGATGGTGCATGCCTTCTCCAACTTGCCATAGTCCCTACCCCATGGGTCTTGTATAATTAAGTTACTACCTGGTCTATGTAGTCATTTTATTTTGCAACCCCTGGACTAGAGGTTAAAAATCAGTCAGAGGAAGGGCTGAAATGGGAATGGACAAGGAGACTGAAACGTCTTCCTAAACTTCCTGGTTATTGGTAGGCTTTCCTCATCCATATGGCACCATGACCACCATCAAGATCAGCAGTAGGAACAACTTTAAATTTAGGGCACAACAAATTAGTTCTGCATCTGGGTCCCAGGTTTTACTGACCGCCCCCGAAGTCAGGAAGCACATCTAAGAGATGCCTCTGAAACTGATGATCCAAAGAGGTTTATTAGTCATTAGCTATTGTTTCAGTAGCAAACTTCAAACCCAGTACACCTAGTTCTTGCTCTAAACTTTGGTTTCTGTAAGCCTTTCTGTTAGCTGAGACAACTTCTGTACAAAAAGGGCAATGAAAAAATGGATGACGGACAAGTAGACCTCCCAACCCCAGATCATCTGTAGGCACATTATATATGTAAAAAATGTAGTCATGTGGCAGGAGCCTGTGTAACAAACAACAAAATCATACTTTTTTGTGGCTAGTTTTTCTCTGGTGACATTACCACTACCGGCCTTTTGCACAAGTCAACAGCAGCACTTGATTTAACATCAGAGTTTCCACCTCTTACTCAGATTTTAGTGATGTGTTTCACCACTCTTACTTTGTTGCCAGAATTACTGCCAACATATCACAATTCTTTTTGAAGCCATTAGTACTATTATGTCTCATAATGATTAAAATCTGATTTCAGCCCTATCTGGTTTGGCTCAGTGGATAGAGCATCGGCCTGTGGACTGGATGGTCCCAGGTTCGATACCAGTCAAGGGCATGTACCTCGGTTGCAGGCTCCTTCCTGGCCCAAGGTCATGGTCGGGGCTTGTGCAGGAGGCAACCAATCGATGTGTTTCTCTCACATCAATGTTTCTCTTTGTCTTTCTCTCTCTCTTCTACTCGCTCTAAAAAAAAATCAACGAAAAAATATCTTCGGGTAAAATCTGATTTCAAACATTAAAGCAAATGTCTTGTCTGCTTCAGAAGGCAAATGGACCAAGAATTACATTTTAAAGGAATATACATTTCCTTATGGTTCCCGCTTAATCTAGCATAATCCTAGAACAGCGTTTCTCAACCTGTGGGTCGCAACCCCTTTGGGGGTTGAACGACTCTTTCACAAGGGTCGCCTAAGACCATAGGAAAAGACATATAATTACATATTTTTTGTGATTAATCACTATGCTTTAATTATGTTCAATTTGTAACAATGAAAATACATCCTGCATATCAGATATTTACATTATGATTCATAACAATAGCAAAATTACAGTTAAGAAGTAGCAACGAAAATAATTTTATGGTTGGGGGTCACCACAACATGAGGAACTGTATTAAAGGGTCGCAGCATTAGGAAGGTTGAGAACCACTGTCCTAGAAGGTCAGTGATGAGGCTCTAATGAGACAACAGCAAGCCACTTGTCACATCTTTACCATGCTGAAGTGCCTATTGCTCAGGACTGTGAAAGAAAAAAGTAATGATATGGCAAAATGGGTTTCCAAAGCTAAGAAAATGGCGTGGAGGTTTGGGGTTTCATCAAGATCTCTGAGGCAACGGATGACTCAAGATCCATCCCTCCCTCTCCAAGAAAATAGAGTCATTCTTACCTTATTCAACCACTCAAAAGATTTGCATTCAGGAAAGCAAATGGTGGTCCAAATTCTTGTTTCTTCCCCGTTGCACGTTGCTCAGCTAAGACTTCTCAGCACTTTCTGATGCCTACAGAGGAAAGATCTTTCACAGTAACGTCCCGAAGAGTTCAAGTTCTCATTATCGTAACTTTGTGGGCTGGGTACAAGGATAAGATTAAAGTGTATTGATAACAAAAGGCTTACACACACTCTCTCCTGGGGCAGCCTAACACTGAGGTAGAGTTGCAGAAGGCCTGCAGGGCTGAAGGTCAGTTCTATGCAATGTGTACAAGCTGGAACAGAAAGGAAGGAAGGAAGGAAGGAAGGAAGGAAGGAAGGAAGGAAGGAAGGAAGGAAGGAAGGAAGGTCCTGCTTTATTTACCACTGGGCACTCAACCACATTAGGGTGGATTAGAGTGGGCTATGGGTCCCACTGGGCAATATTTATACTGATTTCAGAACAGAAAAGCATTTTTAATTTTTAGATTTTCATCTGTAAAAAAATGCAAAATTCTAGATTAACTAAGAATGTGAATAATTATAGACAACAGAGTAAGAATGCTGTGCAATCATTAAAAATTATATTGAAGGAAAGCGGGGGAGGGTAGGTGAATGGAAAGAGATCAACCAAAGAACTTGTACGCATATATGCATAACCCATGGACACAGACAGTAGGGTGGTGAAGGAAGGCCTGGGGTGGGGGTGGAACTGGGTAGAGAGGAGCAATGGTAGTAAAGGGGGCGGGGGGGACATCGAGTGGGGCAGGCCAGAAGGGATCAATGCGGGGAGAGGGGGGACATCCATCATAGTTTCAACAATAAAGATTTAAATTTAAAAATTATATTGAAGAAAAAATAATGACATGAAAAATTACTAATAATATTAGATGATTTTAAGTTTATAAACATTTAATCCTATTTGTGTCAAGTAGACAATATTTATATAGGTATGGTCAAAAAGACTAAAAGAAAGTACAGCAAAATGTTAAGAAGTAATTATATGGTGTTAAGATTATGGATGGGTTTGGTCCCCCCCTCCCACCCACACACACACCTTTTGGCTCTTGGTATTTTCTGTAATAGCCATGTAGCACTTTTGTAAAGGGAAAATAAAATGTTTACCTCCTCTTGGAGAATATATACCAGTGGTCGGCAAACCAAGGCTCGCTTGCCACATGCGGCTCTTTGGCCCCTTGAGTGTGGCTCTTTCACAAAATACCATGTGTGGGTGCGCACGTACAGTGTGATTGAAACTTTGTGGCCCATGCGTAGAAGTCTGTTTTTGGCCTGGGCAAGTCTATTTTGAAGAAGTGGCGTTAGAAGAAGTGGGGGGCGTTGGTCGGTTGGGTGACAGGAGACAAGGTGCAGATGGGCCGCGGGATATGCAGCGCTGGGAAGGCGCACACGATTCATACACGAATTGAGTGAGCCAGTACCCTAATTAAGTTAATAACAATGTACCTACCTATATAGTTTAAGTTTTAAAAATTTGGCTTTCAAAAGAAATTTCAATCATTGTACTGATATTTGGCTCTGTTCACTAATGAGTTTGCTGACCACTGAGGTATACCATCTAACAGCGTGAAGTTAAACAGTGGCCCACAGAGACAAAAAGAGCGAGAAGGAAGCCAACACCCTCTGCTTTGCCAAGTAAACCCAACCTGTCCAGGAAACACTTGGAAGATGACACAGGCCACTTAAGTCCTGGCCGAGTTTGGTCTGTCCCTCATTTATTCCAGCTAATACATGAGGCAGGAATGAAGGACTTAGACTCTAAACACTTTGCAAGCCCCTAATGAAATGCAGGATCTAGGCAATGATCATCCACGCCTGGCTGCTAATGTCACCAAAAGAGAGACAAGCAGGTATCGCAAGCCTCTGAGTGGTGCACACAAACCTCCCAACTATTCCGATTAAACCCAAATAAAATTAGCCTCTAGCTGTAAGTGCCTCTTTGTAGGAAATACAAATACGGGGGAATACGTCAGAGGATAATGCGGAGACACAGGAAGCAAAACCCAGACTGTGAGAGACTCTCTAAGACAAGTGACCCGGGCCCTTTAACAAATACATTGGAAGAGGAGAGGGAGAGAAAGAGCAGAAAGTGGAGAAGGGGGAGGGCAGGGGGACGAGGTGGGAGAGAGAGAAGGAAAACAGGAGGAGGAGAAAAACGGGAGAGGAGAGCAAGGCAGCGGGGGAAGAGGGGCCAGGAAGCTATAGATTAAAAGAAGCTGGAGAGACATCAATCAACTGCATTTTGTAAGCACTAAACCATCATAATTTGGAACTTGGTTCAAACAGTTTTTAAAATTATGAGACAATTGGGAAAATTTGAACACCAACTAGATATTTGATGATATTTAGGGGTTACTGCTTTAAATATTAGTGTAATAATGATATTTTATTAGACTTTTTTTTAAAAAAATCCTTATCTTTTCGATACATTCTGAAACTGATAAAAATAAAATACCCAAAGTGCAAAACTCTGAGCGATGGATATATAGGTGGATAGATGATGGACAGATGGAAGGACAGATGGACAGAAAAAAAAAGCTTTGTTCTTTAATATGCCAGTGGACAAGAGAGAGTGGGTTAAAAGCACTGTGGAAAGTATTGTTGAGAGCTTCACTCTCCACTCTTTTTAAACCCAGCTAGGGTGCACAGGCGGCCCCCCATGTGCCGACAGTCCCAGATGTGTTTGAGGCTCTGCCTTTCAGAAGCCCTAGTGTGAGACTTCCATTCAGAACTGAGCCACTGGGAAGAGAGGCAGGGCCTGGGACGTGGAGGTTACCGGTTTGGATCACGGCCGCGGGACTCTGCTGGCCGCGTGGTGGCTGCGTCTGGATGCCGCAGCTGCTTCCTTATTCCATGACCGTGACAAGGCAGCCCACCCCTTAGCAGCTCTGTTCCCGTTTACATTGGGCAGCTGTTCCTAGATGCTCAACCTCGGTTCCCTGTCTTTGGCCTTCATAACGGGTCTGCAAGTTATCGCTTTCCGCTGACAGGCCCTTTTCTCCTTAAGCTGGTTGGAGTGGATCCTGTTATCTCCAGCTAAGGACGCATCCAAGCTAGCCTCGGCAAAGTGGGCAGCGGACCTCCCTTGGGGGAGGGTTTGCTTCCCAGTGGCTGGGCACTGTGTATGCCTCGCTGCCTCTGGGAACATCTGTAAAGTTAAGTGATGAGCAGCCTGGCACAATACATTTTCATTAGGTCCAAAAAGGGCTGCCCTGGTGATACCTCACCACCTCCTGGGAAATTCCTGGGAACCCCAAAGCAGTTCCATCATCAGTTGACTATGTATAGAATCATCTCTTCACTGGCCTCGGGTGAATCTTGACCTCAAACCACAAATAAACAACAGACGAAAGAAGGGAGTCCCTTCTGTTCCAAGCTGGAGAGAGTGTCTTCTTACACCCCTTCTGCACCTGTGCTATGCCGGGCCCGGGGTGTGACTAGGCGCCGTGCGTCACTGCAGGTGGGAGCCCAAGTGAAGGGAGGGCTCAGCTCCACAGTGGCTGGGCCGGGCCGGGCCGGGCTGGGCAGGAAGATGGCGCAGGACAGAGGGGCACACCAGGCCTCTTCTCCTCCTGGGGACTCAAAAGTCCAGGTTCCCAGCAAGCCTGATGTTCTGCTTTCCTCCGAGGACAGGAGAGATCAACAATTCAAGGGCTACAGTTTCTCTCCCGAAATTTATCCCAGTCCTACCTCCAACACAATGGGCAAACTGATAGAGAGAGACGTTGAGGCTATGGGAAGGCCTGGAACTTGGAATCTGAAGGTTGAGGCTTTTTTCCTCAGTGACCTTCATTTTCCTCATTGCAAAAAAAGGGGGGGGAGTGCAGACTAACAACCCTGGCCAGTGTGGCTCAGTTGGCTGGAGCATCGTCCAGTACACGAAATGTTGTGGGTTCCATTCCTGATCAGGGTACATACCTAGATTGCAGGGTTCAATCCCTACTTGGGACATGTACAGAAGGCAATTGATCTATTTCTCTCATCTCTCTCTCTCTCTCTCTCTCTCTCTCTCTCTCTCTCTCATCAATAAAAACACATCCTCAGGTGAGGATTAAAAAATTTGGATTTGCACAACGTTCTTAATTCTCTACTGTTAGATACCCGGTGTGGGGCTACAGAACCTTTGCAGAGTATTTGGAGATTATTCTCTGATGATTTATCTTTTTCCAAAACCATAGACAAGAATTTATTGCATTTGGCAGGGACAAATTTGACCTGTTTGCCATACAAGATTATGAAGGCAGATTGGGGGGAAAGCAGGCTGCAGCTTCATTTATCATTATTTCAGGGACAGGGTGACAATACTGTGTGATGTAATTCTTCCCCTCTGCATAAATCTCAGAGGCTTAGCACTGTGCACTGTGGGAAAAGTACCACCCTGTCCATTGGTAGAACTTGGAAAAGGACCAAGAGAAGCAGAAAACAACATGCTTGCATCACAGTCCAGCATGACTGGATGTTCTCTCTAGCCAGTGGGGGACAGGATGATCTCAGTGGAGCTTGACATGAAAGTATTTGTGTGCCGGGAGCAAGTGGCTTGCAACCATTCACAGAGGATCCCTCACTAGACCAGCTAAAACAGCGGTTCTCAACCTGTGGGTCACAACCCATTTGGTGGTGGAACAACCCTTTCACAGGGGTCGCCTAAGACCATCCTGCATATCAGATATTTACATTACGATTCATAACAGTAGCAACATTACAGTTATGAAGTAGCAACGAAAATAATTTTATGGTTGGGTCACAACATGAGGAACTGTATTTAAAGGGCCAGAAGGTTGAGAACCACTGAGCTAAAAAGCAAAAGGGGAAGAGGACCAGGCCATCCCCATGCTGGAGAGCAATTGCATGCATTTCTCACCTTCTCTGCAGCTGCAATATGTTCAACTCGTCCCCCAGGACAATCCACTTAAGATGCAGGAGGAAAAGAAAAACATTCTTGCTCAGATGTTCCACCTGAAGAGATAACACTTAACATCCTGGGCGTGTCATTGATTTGGGATGATGATAAGGGTTAGGTGGCATCTGAAATGCCCACACTCAAAGGGTACAGCCAATGTACCCTGTGTGAAG